GCATAAAGTGGCCAAATTTGGACAACACTGACCTAAGGGGTTACCTCAGGTAGGCCACATGGAGTTCCACGGAGGAAAGGTGTGGTATCAGTTATTAAACAGGCAGGGAGCAGCTGGCCCTTTAAAGAAGAAGCCAGCTTGATGTGCTCAGAGGGAGTCACCTGGCCTCTGAGAGCCAATAAAAGAAAAGAAGGGGGGGTGGGATGAGTTTTGGTGTCCTGTTGGGGAGAAGTTGGCTGGAGTCCTGGGTGAGGGAGTTACCTCAGGTAAGGCTGGGAGTTCAGTTGTTCGGCTGTTGTTAGAACTGCTTTAGGATTTTTTGTATTTTATATTTTGTAACTATGTTAATTTATCTTCTTTTGGCATCTTTAAGAAAGTTGATTTTTGTTTAAATCCTGGAGTTGGCTGGTGGCCTTCTAGCACTTGCCTCAGCAAAGGGACCTAATTTTCAGGTTTCCTCAGAACTGAAGTACCACAGAGGGAAGGGCTGATTAGATCCCAAGGATACCTTTTTCCTTTCCTTGTCATTCTTTCTCTAGGTGCATCTTCCTCAGCCCTTTCAGTAGCATCTTCTAGTTATTCCATCAGTTGCCCTGCCATTTCTCTACTACACTTTCTAGTACTTTCTCTTTTATATTTTTTAAACCTTTCTCCTCCTTTACTCCTTGTTCTTCTTCCCAATAATATCTGATAGCATCAGTCCTCTCTCCCTCCTGTTTAATCATTCTCTTCCCACCATTTTTGTCTCATATTATTGTCATTTTTCTGGCTGCTCCTGCTCCTCCTCACAAAAGACACACTGATGCCTGTGCAGTACATTTTTGAAGTTCATTAAAGACTATATGGTGTCTTAATATAATTTAGCCTTTGCGATTAATCAAGGTTAGTAAGAAAATTGTAGAAAATCACAGTAAAAGGTATTAAAATATTATTTTTGTTTCTATGATACTGGCCCCATCAATTTCGTTCAGATGAGTAATAAAAGAACAAAGATTAGTCTTAGTCCTTACTGCAACAGTACAGAATCTAACTTGACATGAATTTCCTTCAGTTTAGTGGAACCTAAGTAGTCTATAGAAATTCATTCTGTGTCCTTTCTCATGGAAATAAATTATCTTTAGCCCACAAAGTAGCTCAGAAATTTATGGTAAAACTCTAGAACTGGCATTACCAGATTGCACCTTTATTTGTTTGTTTGTTTATTTTATTCAATTTTGTGCCCACCCTTTACAATTCTAGGTGGCTTACAATTAAGAAGAAAAACAACTTACAGTGACTGTACGCTACCAATAAAAAACTCAAACTATAGAGACACTGCAACCACCCTATCCCAAGGCCTGGGAGAACAACAAAGTTTTCAGTGATATTCTGAATGTCATTAGGGTGGGAGCTATACCAATCTCTGGGTGCGGGGAATGCCATTGCAAAGGGCAGGCACTGCAACAGAGAAGGCATGCTTCCTGGGTCTTGCAACAGAGATGCCATATGGTTGTAATAATCTGTTGGTCGTTTCTGAGATGTTTCTGATGAAGTTTATTGGAAGACAACCTACACCAATCAAGTACTCCACTACCAAAGCAACAACCTGACCTCCCACAAGAGGAGCTGTGTAAGAACATTATTCAAGTGAATGCAAACACATTGCAGCAACCCAGAACAGCAGAAAAAGGAAAAAGACCACCTCTACAACATCTTCCAACAAAATGGATACCCACGTAACCTTATCAAAAAATGCCTGACCACTCAAGCTACTACAACACAACCCACACAAGCCATGAAAAGGATCACACTGCCATACATCAGAAACATCTCAGAAACCACCAACAGGTTATTACAACCATATG